ATAGCCCACTCCTCATCTTCAGCCTGAAGTTAGAAGTCACTGCTTTGGAAAACCCTTCCCTGACCCCTCCTGGTCTAAGTTGGATATCCTCCTTTGTAAATTTCCCTGTGGCAGCATTTATCTCTGAGCACTGTAATTCCCAGTGAGCTAGCGAGTCCCCCTTATTAGACTGAAAGGTCCAAGGGTAGGAAATGGCCCATCTTTTTCTAGCACTGAAATCCCTTGGTACATAATGGGTGATTTAGAGGAAGTAAAAAGAAGTGTATAGTCACAAAACAGATTTAGTGATTAACTTTCCCTAAGATTACAGACTGAGCATCTCCTTTACCAAATACTTGGGACAGAAGTATTTCAGATTTTGGAGTATTTGCATATATATAATTAAATATCTTGGGAATGGAACCCAAGTCTAAACATGAAATTCACTTATGTTTCATATACACCTTATACACATATCCTGAAGGTAATTTTATACAATACTGTAAATAATTTTGTGCATAAATAAAAGTTTAAGTACTTATGTGTGGAATTTTCTGCAGATCATCTGAGGTCGAGAGTTCGAGACCAGTCTGACCAACATGGAGAAACCCCATCTCTACTAAAAATACAAAAAAATTAGCCAGGCATGGTGGCACATGCCTCTAATCCTAGCTACTTGGGAGGCTGAGGCAGGAGAATTACTTGAACCTGGGAGGCAGAGGTTGTGGTGAGCTGGGATCACACCATTGCACTCCAGCCTGGGCAACAAGAGCAAAACTCTGTCTCAAAAAAAAAAAAAAAAAAAGTCTCAGATTTTGGAGCACTTCAGATTAGAGGTACTCACCCTGTATATGTAAAGGTAAGAAGACAGATACATATACAATCATGCTAAAAGATGGAAGAATATAAATTGGAAGATGGTCTCTTGTCTCAGTGAAGGAGATATTCCAAGCCTTCTTTTCTTTCATCTACCCAAGCCCCTTAATGAAGGGGAGGTCTGGATCAGGATCAGGGCTAAGACAGGAAGAAGATATACCTTTTATAACCATAGCTTAAGGATAATAGGCTGTAGTTTTTTAAAAAAAACACATTTTTTTCTGCTAAAAGGGAACAAAGAATTCAACAACTGTCATTTAACAACAGACAGCACAGTGCTTTGCAAGAACCCACATAGGTATTTCATTGTATAAAAAGATGAATCATAATTCCAGCCCTAAGGAACCTTACAATCCAATTTAAAAAAACACATGAGGTAGAATTATGTTAAAGGTACAGATAATGCTATGGATTCAGCAGAGGGAAAAAGTCAAGTGATTATTACAAATGTTGCAAGCAGGGAAATGAGGTGATTGAGCTGTGATTTTAGAAGTTTAAGAGAAACCTTTAGGACAGCCTGAGTTTTAGGGAGAAGCTAAAGACAGACTTTAAGTTAAAGACACTGCAGTGGTCTGGTTAAGAAGTAACAAGGGTATAAACCAGTGAGTGATGTCAGTGAAAATGAAATGAAGTAAATTTAAGTAGAGGCGCGGTGGCTCAAGCCTGTAATCCCAGCACTTTGGGAGGCCGAGGCGGGTGGATCACGAGGTCAAGAGATCGAGACCATCCTGGTCAACATGGTGAAACCCCGTCTCTACTAAAACTACAAAAAAAAAAAAAAAAATTAGCTGGGCATGGTGGTGCGTGCCTGTAATCCCAGCTACTCAGGAGGCTGAGGCAGGAGAATTGCCTGAACCCAGGAGGCAGAGGTTGCGGTGAGCCGAGATCACGCCATTGCACTCCAGCCTGGGTAACATGAGTGAAACTCCGTCTCAAAAAAAAAAAAAAAAAAAAAAAAGAAGGCAGACTCTTAAAAACTGATTATTAATTAGAAGAAAAAACCTCATTTCCCAAGAAGCCTCTTGCTTCTAACTTCATACCCAAACAAATATAAGCAAAGGTGGCATTGTCAGAGGTGGTTTTGATGGAGATGCTTATGAATAGGATAAGGTTATTTTTATTTATAACATGTTCACTTATGGACAGGATGCCTCCAGCTGTTTTTATTCCATAAGGTCCCTCTACAATTATCTTCAGAGCTTAAGGTAGCACAGTTAAGTAGAAAGAATCTGAACTTTAAAAACAAGATCTAGATTGCAATCCCAGCACATTATTTTATCTCCTCATGCCTTAGATTTTCATTCGTAAAATGGGAGGGGCCATACTTCATAGGATGGTTCTAAGAGCAAAATTCAATAATATGAAAACTGCTAGAAACAGGCAAGTTACTGTATGACAGTGCCAGAATGTTGGATTCAGATTGCCATCTGTACAGGAGAAATATTTATTATAAATAAAGAACAAGCTTTTAGTTAACAGTGCCCCTTGTAATTGATTTCAGCCATGTTTCTGTTAGTGATAAGATGACAATCAGATGGATTTAAGCGTTTGTAAAGAAGCAGAGGCAAGGCTCAAAGCATCAGCATTAGAGTCGAACAATCTGGGTTACAAGGGTAAATTAAATCTCATAGCCTCGACGTCCTCACCCATACAATTGGCATGATAACACAGCAGTCTTAGAGAGCTACAAGATTACATGAAATCATGTACAGTGAGTGGTTAATAGTAAGCGGTCAGTAAATATTAGTTGTGGGACCTACCTAGCAAGAACTATAGTACATTGAACCAGCTGTCCTGTCTTACTTGGAATACAAATTAATTATTTAGCACAGCATTTGTTAAACACCCATACTTTTACTCCTTTTCTTCATGTTTCGGGCTTGAATAATATGTATTTAAGATAAAAATTATTAGGTATTGATGTACTTTTTAAAATTTGGTATTTGTAATGGTATAATTACTTCTTTCAATTACAATATTTACTAAGTATCTGTAAATAAATAAATTTACACTCACTGATTTTACATATTAGAGAATCTATATTTTAAATCTATATTTTAAATATTGAATATCATCTCTTATTTATCAATTCTTTGAGTATCTTTTATGATTGATATATTTCCAAGAAAATCTGCTGGTCAACACTGTAGAAATGGGTAGTTATCCCTAGCATCTATTCTCTCCTTCATCCATGGTTAATAAAAGCTCAAATTTTCAGCTGGGCACATTGCCACTCAGAATGAAGACCATATTATCCAGTTTTCCCGCTGGGTGTGATCAAGTTACTAAGCTCTAGCCAGTGAGATATAAAAGGGAATGGAGTGTGCATAGTGAATGTCACTAAGGTGAGAAAGCATATGCTCACTCTCCCAGTAAATTCTTCCTCTGTCTGCAATGTGGATGCGATGGCCAGAGCTGGAGCTGTCTTGGAGACGGAAGCCACATCTTGATACTGTTGGAACAACAGAGAAGGGATTTGAGTTCCTGATGACTATGGAGCTGCTAAACCAGTCCTGGATTGCCTTCAATTGCAGGGAAGAAAGCAAACCTTCCTGTTTAAGAACTTTTATATCAGGGTTTCTGTCACTGGCAGCCTAATCACATCCTAAATAAAAAAGAGAAAATGAAATTTCAATTTCATTTATTTTCTTAATACTTTTTTTCTCAACTTATGGTGAGAAAGAAGAGATGGTGTTAGGAAGAGAAAAGGGGCAAGAGGATTCATTCAGCTGCCCCACCTACTGCTATAGTTATCATATTCCTAACTTGTCTTTTACCCTCACCTACTCTAGGGTCAATTTTGCTCTTCATTCTAGTAGTTCGACTCCAAAAAAGAACTGACCCCAAAACACCATTCATTTGTTCATTACTCACTCAACAAATGCCTGCTGAGCATCTAGTGTGTGTTAGATGCTGAATAAAACAGACTTCTAACTTCAGAGAGCTAAGTCAGGCATTTAAAAAAATGTACATTAAATTTTGATCTGTGGTCCCAAATTTTCTTACAGGATTGAAGTAAAAGACTGAGTATAAAAGACTGGGAGAGAGCGGACATATGGAGTGATAGGAAGAACCTTAGTACTGGAAATAATATAGAAAATAGGACGATGAGGACTCTGAGGGACAAAGGCAAAGATGTGACTACCCAGCACAGGAAAAAAGAGGAAAAAGGAAAAGAACGCATTCATTGGCCCTTCCTGGGCTTCATATAGCCTTAGAACCTCTGTCACTTTTTTTTTTTTTTTTTTAAGAGATGGAGTCTCACTCTGTCACCCAGGCTGGAGTGCAGAGGAGCGATCTCAGCTCACTGCAACCTCCACCTCTGGGTTCAAGCAATTCTCTTGCCTCAGCCTCCTGAGTAGCTGGAACTACAGGTGCACACCGCCATGCCTGGCTAATTTTTTTTTTTTTTTTTTTTTTTTGTATTTTAGTAGAGATGGGGTTTCACCGTGTTGCTCAGGCTGGTCTTGAACTCCTGAGTTCAGGCAATCTGCCCTGCCTTGGCCTCCCAAAGTGCTAGGATGACAGGCGTGAGCCACTGTGCACAGCTTTTTTTTAATTTTATTTTTAAGAGAAGGGGTCTCACTCTGTTGCCCAAGCTCAATCATAATGCATTGCTGCCTCAAAGTCCTGGGCTCAAGTGATCCTCCCACCTCAACCTCCCCAGTAGCTGGGACTACAGGTGCATGCCACCATACCCAGCTAATTTATTTTTATTTTTGTAGAGATGGAGTCTTGCTATGTTATTCAGGCTGGTCTCAAACTCCTGGCCTCAAGTGATCCTCCTGCCTCTGCCTCCTGAAGTGCCAGGATTATAGACATGAACCACTGTACCTGGCCCTCTGTCATATATTAATGATTAATAGGGACAAGCTTATAATTAAACTTCTGTAACTTCTAGAGCATAGTAATTGTCCTCCTTATATCTGCCCTTTGCATTGTTAAAATCAAAGACTTTCAGAAACCCTCAAAAGGCTCCCTGTCATTCTTTTCCAATTCTAGGCCCCATTCAGAATTTCCACCCCATTCCAGCCTCTTATTAGGAACTTTCCTACCAATGTACCCTTAGGGAAGACAGGAGTCAGTCATCAGAATAGGGAGGGAGGGAGTGCTGTTGAAATTCTCAGTTAAAATTTACTTTTAGGTTTTTTTTTCATAGAAATATTGCTAGAGTAGAATCTAAACTTCATTTCTGCTTCCAGCTTTATAGTTCAGCAACCCTACACAGTTAAAATCAGCTTTTGTGGGTTGGCTTAAGGGTTTGTCTGAGTGAGAAAGTAAGTTCAGAGTTTCAAATAATTAATATGAATTTTAACTTTAGAGTATAGTTCTTTTGTGAGGAATGGAAAGCTTAACTGTCATTCTTTGCCTAATAGAAAGATGGCACGGCACTACTATTGTTACACACTTGGCTCCAGGAGAATGAAAAAGAAACAAACCAGCTACTGATGCTGGGATTCAGTGTTTTTTGTTTGTTTTTACCTGAGGTTTGAGGGAAAGTATATTTATTGAATACTACTAAATCAGGTTAACTGTGACAAGTAGTTCTTAATACAGTATAATATGATATGATAAAAAAAATTTCTCTTAGGTTGTGGTTTTAACACTTCACAAGTAGTTTCTTTTCCTGTTAACTTTCAGACAACTCTGCTTAAGCCTAAGCTAAATACCAGGAGGAAGTGCTACCACAATTTTAGCTTTCTTGTTTCCAGTTGAGCTATTATTCTCACCTTTTCCCCATTAGTAAAGTATCATACATTCACTTACAGTTCTCTTTCTAGCCTAATAAAAAATGGTCTTAAAATAATTACAGTAAAATAATAAAATAATCATAAATCTGAGAGAGAAAAATAGGCAAACTGCCCCATCAGTACTAACAAAAAAGCTTGCAGATGTTTAAAAACTTTCTTTGGCTTTGGTTCAGCAGCTTGGTCAGGAAACTTACTGACCAAGATCCCTTGTCTTTTTCTATAGGGCCCCTGCCCATAATGTGCTGGCAAAATAATAGCTGTTGTTATATTCCTGATACAGCACAAAAAGGCATGAAAACATTCTAAGTAGTAAAAACAATCTGTCTTTCCCCAATGGGCCATAAGTCCAGAAAAACAAGTTACCTCATTTATGAACCCTCCTATTTAAGACTCTGTGACACAACAATATTGCATTACTATTTTCTATTAAAATGTACTTTCAAATCAAAATCTTAGCTAAAATGTCCAGCAAGGTCACAAAAATCTTGTTTTTTTCTCTTATCCTTTTAAATTGGAATTTAGGGCACAGAAAAGAAGTATGTTTTTATTTCACCTAGTAAACATTACTAGGCCATAGAAACCGTAACACTCCACTAATTAGTATCTTTGCATAGCAAAAATTAAAGCAATCTTAATTCACAGGGATGATTCTGAAATATACAAAGATGTTAAAATTCCCTCTATTAAACAATGCAATTATTAATATATTCAGTATCTAGTCCAATTTGATGTAATAATTATAGAATTTCAGAGCTAAAACAATTATAAAATAAGTTGGGTGAAGCTAGAATAGATTTGGAACATCTAAGTATTGATACACTCATTCTATAGATGAAGAAATTGAGAAAATTGAGAACCAGAGGCAAAATATATGGTTTTAATGTCAAAATACTGATTACATTATAGTTTTCAGAAACTTGGACAACCATCTATAAAATTGGGGTTGGCCTTATGATTTGCTACAGTATATGGCTGCTTGTTTGGTATAATTTCAGAAATGCTCTTACCAAAAGAAAAAAAAAGGCACAGAAATTTGTCACCCAAATTCTTCCTCAGAGATAAAAATAGTAAAATGATATCTAGTCATCTTCTATTTACATATTTAGTTGAGGTTCAATGATGCCTATAATTCTATAAGCAGACTAATTCCATTATTTTTGTTAAAATGCAAGTACCACTCTCGCCACTCTTACTCAACATAGTCCTGGAAGTTCTAGTCAGGGCAATAGGCAAGAAAAGTAAATAAAAGCCATACAGATAAAAAAGGAATAAATACAACTGTCCTTATTTATAGAAGACACATTATGTATATAGAAAATCCTAAGGAATTTATAAAAAACATCAGGTATTCCACAGGTTGCAGAATACAAAGTTAATATACAAGAGTGAGTTGCTTTCCTATAGACCATCAATGAACAATTAGAATTTGAAATTTTAAAAAATTACAATAAAAAATAAAATAGGTATAAATCCAACAAAATATGTACAGACTCTATATACCAAAAACTACAAAACTCTGATCAAATAAATCAAAGATCCAAATAAGTGGAGAAATACTTAATGTTCATAGATTGGAAGACTCAATACTATTAAAGTGTCCATTTTGGGCCGGGCGCGGTGGCTCAAGCCTGTAATCCCAGCACTTTGGGAGGCCGAGGCGGGTGGATCACGAGGTCAAGAGATCAAGACCATCCTGGTCAACATGGTGAAACCCCATCTCTACTAAAAATACAAAAAATTAGCTGGGCATGGTGGCACGTGCCTGTAATCCCAGCTACTCAGGAGGCTGAGGCAGGAGAATTGCCTGAACCCAGGAGGCAGAGGTTGCGGTGAGCCGAGATCGCGCCATTGCACTCCAGCCTGGGTAACAAGAGCGAAACTCCGTCTCAAAAAAATAAATAAATAAATAAATAAATAAAATAAAGTGTCCATTTTTCCCATCTGTAAGTTCAACATTCCAATTAGAATCCTGGCAAGCTATTTTGTAAATACGAACAAACTGATTCAAAATTTTATATGAAAAGGCAAAAGACCTAGAAGAACAGTCAGACTGTTTTCATGACTTACTATAAACTACAGTAATCAATACAACATAATATTAGTGAAAAGACAGATACATGACAGATCAATGGAGGAGGATAGATAGCCTAGAAATAGACTGATAAAAATATGGTCGTTGACTTATTGTTAACAAAGAAGTGGCCAGGCGTGGTGGCTCATGCCTGTAATCCCAGAACTTTGGGAGGCCCAGGCAAGAGGACTGCTTGAGCCTAGGAGTTCAAGATCAGCCCAAGCAACACAGGGGACTCCATTACAAAAAAAAAAAATCACCCAGGCATGGTGGCATATGCCTGTCTGTGGTCCCAGCTACTTGGGAGGCTAAGACAGGAGGGTCGCCTCAGCCAAGGAGACTGGGGCAGTGAGCTGTGATCACACCACCACATTCCAGTTTAGGTGACAGAGTGAGACCCTGCCTAAAAAAAAGGAGCACAGGCAATTCAATGGAGAAAGGATAGTTTTTCCACCAAGTGATGATGAAATAATAGGACATCCATATGCAAAGAAAAGAAAAGAGAAAAAGAGGAAGAAAGCAAAATGACTTGACAGAAACCTCATACCCTTAACAAAAAGTAACTCAAAATGGATCACAGACCTAAACTTAACACACAAGACTAAAAACCATCTAGAAATAAATGTAAGAGAATATCTAGATCTAGATCACCCTGAGTGATCTCACTCTTTCACAACTGATCAAACCTGTAATTACCTCTCAGTCCTTTCTCCTTAATCTGAGGCCTATTTCTTTTTTCCTTTTTTTCTTTTTTTTTTTGAGATGGAGTCTTACTTTGTCAACCAGGCTGGAGCGCAGTGGTGCGATCTTGGCTCTGCAACCTCTACCTCCCATGTTCAAGCGATTCTCCTGCCTCAGCCTCCAGAGTAGCTGTGACTACAGGTGCCCGCCACCATGCTCAGCTAACTTTTATATTTTTAGTAGAGACAGGGTTTCACCGTGTTGGCCATGATGATCTTGATCTCTTGACCTTGTGATCTGCCCACCTCAGCCTCCCAAAGTGCTGTGATTTACAGCTGTGAGCCACCACACCCGACCTCTGAGGCCTATTTCTTTATCTACCTATTTAATCTTGATGTCACACAGACATCTCAAATCAAAAAATAAAAAATAAAAAACAATTCATCACCTTCCCCACACCCACTGCACTATGCTACCACTTCTTATATTCCCTATTTCCATGAGGGCCTCATTCATTATACATCCAGTTGTCCAGTGCAGACAACTGCAAGTCTGTACCTAGCTAGGCTCCTCTGACACCTTACTAACCTCTTGTCAAGTTCTGAATATTCTACATCCTAGAAACTGTCAAATCTATCCCCTATCCTCAGACTCACTCCCAATCCCCATCAATACAGACCCTCATCATGTCTCTCCTGGATAAGAGCAATAGCCTCCTTTCTGTCTCAATGCCTTTGCCGCTTTCTAGCCTATTCTCTACACTGGAACAATCTTTCCAAAATGCAGATCTGATGATAAAACAATCCTTGATAGGTTCCCCCCAACTTTCAAAAGAAAAGCCAGATTCTTCACATGGCATATAATTCCCTTTCAGATCTCATCTCTGCCTATGTTTCCAATGATATGAGTTCAACTTACTCACAGTTCTTCAAACATAGCAACTCTCATGGTTCTATACTTTTGCACATACAAATCTCTCTCACCAGAGCACCCTATCTCCCACTTCTTCAACTGGCCACTCCTTAGTCAGGCTTCAGAAGCCAGCAGAGGCACTACTCTTCCACAGAGCCCGCCCTGACTACTACCTTTCTGTGTTCCCTCATCCCCAACCATCCTAAGCTTTTGCAGGATTCTCTTGCATGGCACTTATCAGTATATACCATAACTGCCTGTTTATCTTGCCCACCTGTCTGTGAGCTCCTTGAGAATGAGGCCTTTGCCTTATTTGTTTCCCCAGTGTCTGGCAAGGAGTGTTGCAAGAGCAGATAATACATGTTTCTGAAATAAACAAATAAATATGAGACACGATATAGAAGAACTCTGATTGGAAGTAAGAATTTGACTTTGAACCCATATGGATTGAATAAAGTGTATTCTGTCCTTCGTGCTAAATGAAAAACGAATGCCTCAACCTTCAATAATTCACACACTTTGGAACATAAGTAAAAAATATTACATTTACAAGCTTAAAAAAATCTAATACAATATTTCTGCTGTCAACATTCACTGAAACAGTGACAAGAAGAATGACCTTCACAAATGCCCTCCCTTAATCTTTTTGTCTTTCAAGATTACAAGGGCCTCAGTAAACATTCAGCTATCTCCAACTGGCCCTGCTTAAATGTGGTGTAGGCAGTTTACCACAGGTGAATAATTTGAGGAGCTACCATCCTGAGACGTTCATTCCTCCACCTCCCTTGTTTACTTGTCTTGAGAACTGCACCATTAGTATTGCACCATGGGTTTAGTTAACAAAAGTAGTGAAAGTACTTTTAAAGGATTACTGTTAAAATGTAGTGACTGCATAGGAAATACCAAATAAGGCTGTGCTCTGAAAAGGCAGTTACCTTCTCTAACTTCAACCTTTAACACAAGCAGGTTTATTAGAACAGATAGAAGGGCCTCCACAAAATCTTTCACAGAGGCTCTCTAACCTCTGAAAGGAGTGAACCCCTACCACAGGGGATAACATGGTGACCAGCCTGTGAGTAGCTGGCCACAAGTGGGAGAATTTTTTGTGTCAAATTTTAAAATCTTATTCTCTAATATAGCTATGCTTATTTTTAACCTAAAATAATACTTTTTATTACTTACCAGTTAAATTACCCTTCTCCTTCTCATGCCTGCCTCCTATTTCCCCGATTCTAAATTCCAGAAAGATATGTCACAATTTATTCTGTGTGTTCCTGCATACCCTGGGATATGGCCATATATCCCAGGCTATAATCATACTTCAATGTGTGAAGTTCAGAGCTATAAAAAGTGACAGGATGAGTACTTAAAACATAACAATGGTTTCCTTCTGTTTCCTCCACTAAATAGCAAGTGTCTCTAGGACTTAGTGTCTTTATCCTTTTTGCCTAGCACACTTCTTTGTACAGAGCTAGCTTTCAACAAACACCTGTAGAACGTATGTATGAATGAATGACAGCTCTGATTTCTGCAAGGCTTGGAGAGCATCTTGGCACATAAGAGCAAGAAACGTTAGTATCAAAAAAAGAGGATGAATGGATTTTTAAAATGTGTAATATACACACAACGGAATATTATTCAGCCATAAAAAAGAAGGAATCCTGTCATTTACAGCAACATGGATGGAACTGAAGTTATAAGTAAAATAAGCCAGGAACAGAAAGTTAAACATCGTATGTTCTCAGTCATATGTGGAAGCTAAAAAAAAGTTGATCTCATGGAAGTAAAAGGTAGAACTGAGGTTACTAAAGACTAGGAAGGGTAGGCGGATGGGGGAATATAAAGACAACTGCTAAAATATACAAAATTATAGCCAGATAGGCAGAATAAGTTCTAGTGTTGCACAGCTAGAACTATGACTACAGTAGGATGACTATAGTTAACAATATTATATATTTTCAGATAGCTAGAAGGGAGGAAATTGGATGCTCCCAACACAAAGAAATGATAACTGATTGAGATGATGGATTTGCCAATTACCCTGATCTGATCACTGTGCATTGTAATTGAAACATAACTACATACCTCATAATTATGTACAATTATTATGTGTCAGTTAAAAAATAAAAAATAAAAAAGAAGAGAGGGGCTTATATTAATATATTATCTACTAATATTGATATATAATATATATTATGTTGAAATCATTACATATATATTTACATGTACTTTTTAAAATAACATAGAACTGAAAGAAAGTTAACTTACACACACAAAAACTTTTTTAAAAATTCTCAAGAAAGTTGCATCATAGGAATTAAATGTTGAAACAAATACCCAGAGAAGAGGAAGTAAATAAACCTAATGTTTGACTTTAGCTTAAAACACACGTAGGTTAACAGCTTCAAAAGAATTTTTAGAATGAAGATTTACAAAACCGTGTTGTAAAATACAAAAAAGGAAAGGCTGTAAGTAAAGGAACAACAACAACAAATGATTTTTAAAACTCTGTATATGAAGTAAAAATATTGACCAATTTAGTGAAAAAGCCAAACTGGTGGATAGGCATCTGATTTAACTACTTTTTCACTTTTCAACAGGTTTTATGGGATGATACAATCTTGCTCTACTCACAATGGAAGGGAGGAACTTCAAATCTAAACATGTCCAAACAGCAATAACTGGCCCAACTGGGAGCTGTTCAAAGACTGACCAATTGTGCTACCAGCTGAAGGTGGCGTCTGTATGCAAATAGCACCATTAAGTAGCAGTCAAAACATTCAGGGAATACATCTCCAACCTAGAAAAGACACACAGAATGCTATTTTTAAAATTGTTTTTAAAGAGTCATTTTGGTGAGGCGCAGTAGCTCATGCCTGTAATCCCAGCACTTTGGGAGGCCAAGGTGGGCGGACTGCCTGAGCTCAGGAGTTTGCGAACAGCCTGGGTAACATGGTGAAACCCCATCTCTACTAAAAAAAATACAAAAAATTAGCCGGGCATGGGAGCGTGTGCCTGTAGTCCCAGTTACTCGGAAGGCTGAGGCAAGAGAACTGCTTGAACCCAGAAGGCAGATTGCACCACTGCACTCCAGCCTGGGTGACACTGCAAGACTCTTCAGCAAAAAAAAAGTCATTTTAATGTATAGTGAATCACAGATTTTCCATCTTTCCATAGATAAAGTATGGTAAGTCTTTAAATATTTAAAATAGACTTTAAATATATAAAACTGATTGAAGGAGGAAAAATTAGTTGGACTGGTCTGAATGACTGATGAAATTAACTTCCTAAGAGAGGCAGGCAAACATCAGAGCAGTCTCCGACTTTCAAATAACCTATCTATACAAATGGGCAGGCAGCAGAAGTTCCCTCCCACCCCTAAATCACAATACAAACTTACACAATTCTTAACTAAGGTATCTCAGCCTAAAAGCAAAAGCTGATTTCCAGTCTGACCACAGGAAGAATAACCCTCCAAGAAAGTCATCTTCTTTTAGTAATGATAAGAAATTAAGAAAATACTGCTGCCACCACTCACTCACCCACCACTAGCCTCCCGTCCTTTCCATACTTAATTTCTGGTCTCCAGGTTCCAGCCTAACAAGGGAAGGTGAGAAGGAACAAACACAGCTTCTACTACTTAGGTAGGGAAAATGTGGTCCTCAGCCACAGCTCCATAGAAATAAATAACATTGTAAGTGGAAGTTGGTTATGGTTAAAGTTGTTCAATTAGCAGGACTTCAGGTAAGAAGGGTTGAATACCTTTTTTGAACTGATTCCTGAAGCTAATCACCAAGTACAGGTATTGATCGACTTACGACCTATGCAACTTACAACCGTTCGACTTTACGACCACAATCACAAGCCACGACTGCTCCGCGTCTGGCAGCGCAAACGTTGCCCAGCTGGGCGTACGACAGTGCGGACCAGCTTCCGGCAGCACTACCATCTCCACGTGCACCATTTCAACTGTTATCCCAGACTCGGTACAGCAATTTGTGTTTTGTGTCTTGGATATTTTTCATCAAACCCCTCCCAATAAACTTCTTACACATTTCGAAGCAATGGACCCAAACATCGAACGATTTGCAAGGATTGAACGGATGGCGCACGATGTGTTTCGTCCGTATCGTGAAATTTATGAAGAAAAAAAGAAACATACAATTCAGACAAAGCTCACCAAGTTTATGAAAAAACCAACTCCAGTAACCCCAACAGCTGCCTCAGATGACGACATCAACGATCCGCAGCCAAGCACCAGCGGCCAATAAAATGTTTTGTACATGTTTATATATTTTGATATGTTTTGCAATTGGGAAAATGTTTCCTATGGTATTTTTTACACCTGTATTTTGTATTTTTGTATGCACCTGTATTTTGTAATTTTATATGTTTTGCAAATATTAAACCAGTTGTACTGGTAATGCAGTGTTTTACTTAAACCTGACGAATGTAAAAATAAGAAACAAAATGGTGTAGAGATGATACAAATGGCATAAAATGAACAAAGAAAATTATGATATATAACAATGAAAGAAAATTATGATAAAATATGACTTAAAGATTTTTTTTTCCATTTATTTATTTTATTGCATTTTAGGTTTTGGGGTACATGTGAAGAACATGCAAAATTGTTGCATAGGTACACACGTGGCAGTGTGATTTGCTGCCTTCCTCCCCATCACCTACATCTGGCATTTCTCCCCTTGCTATCTCTCCCCAGCTCCCCACCCCCTATTGTCCCTCCCCTATTTCCCCCCAACTGACCCCAGTGTGTAGTGTTCCCCTCCCTGTGTCCATGTGTTCTCATTGTTCAACACCCGCCTATGAGTGAGAACATGCGGTGTTTGATCTTCTGCTCTTCTGTCAGTTTGCTGAGAATGATGGTTTCCAGGTTCATCCATGTCCCTACAAAGGACATGAACTCATCTTTTTTTATGGCTGCATAATATTCCATGGTGTATATGTGCCACATTTTCCCTATCCAGTCTATCGTCGATGGGCATTTGGGTTGGTTCCAGGTCTTTGCTATTGTAAACAGTGCTGCAATGAGCATTCGTGTGCACGTGTCCTTATAGTAGAACGATCTGTAATCCTTTGGATATATACCCAGTAATGGGATTGCTGGGTCAAATGGAATTTCTATTTCTAGGTCCTTGAGGAATCGCCACACTGTCTTCCACAGTGGTTGAACTAATTTACACTTCCACCAACAGTGTAAAAGTGTTACTATTTCTCCACATCCTCTCCAGCATCTGTTGTCTCCAGATATTTTAATGATCACCATTCTAACTGGTGTGAGATGGTATCTCAATATAGTTTTGATTTGCATTTCTCTGATGACCAGTGATGATGAGCATTTTTTCATATGTTTGTTGGCCTCATGTATGTCTTCTTTTGTAAAGTGTCTGTTCATATCCTTTGCCCACTTTTGAATGAGCTTGTTAGTTTTTTTCTTGTAAATCTGTTTTAGTTCTTTGTAAATTCTGGATATCGGCCCTTTGTCAGATGGGTAAACTGCAAAAATTTTTTCCCAATCTGTTGGTTGCCGATTCACTCTAATGACTGTTTCTTTTGCTGTGCAGAAGCTGTGGAGTTTGATTAGGTCCCATTTGTCTATTTTGGCTTTTGTTGTCAATACTTTTGGTGTTTTGGTCATGAAGTCCTTGCCTACACCTATGTCCTGAATCGTTTTGCCTAGATTTTCTTCTAGGGATTTTATGGTGTTAGGTCTTATGTTTAAGTCTTTAATCCATCTGGAGTTAATTTTAGTGTAAGGTGTCAGGAAGGGGTCCAGTTTCTGCTTTCTGCACATGGCTAGCCAGCTTTCCCAACACCATTTATTGAACAGGGAATCCTTTCCCCATTGCTTGTTTTTGTCAGGTTTGTCAAAGATCAAATGGTTGTAGATATGTTGTGTTGCCTCCGAGACCTCTGTTCTGTTCCATTGGTCTGACTTAAAGATTTTTATAACATAATTTCACAGTACTGTACATATAGCCTACTCAACTTATGACCAAATCGTGTTACGACTGCTCTGGTTGGAACCAATTGTGGTCGTAAGTCGAGCACTAGCTGTATTAATATATACAGCTATATTATATATATATTAATATATATAATATATATATAATATATATATATTAATATATATTAGACACAGAAATATAACTTGAGTCCTAAACAACTAATTTGCTAACTAACTTCACAATGATTTAAAACTTCTTTTGGGTCAGTAGCTTTAAAGTTGGTTTTATAAAACAGCAGGGTGCCATAAAATTTCACAGAGGATCAGAATATTTTATTAGAAAGATTTTTAAAAATTGCTTATTTACCAAACATTGAAATTGAGTCAGACAATGATGGTGCTACTTTAGTGAAAAATGTAACAAATGTGTTGATTATTTTTAACACAAAAGAAGTGAACAAGCTGCAACATTATATATTAGTATGTAATACTACATGAATGGACTCTTTGAAGGAGAAAATATAACGCTTTCAGGAATGTTTAAATAGGGTCACCTGATTACCTTTTTGCTTATCATTAAAGGTCAAATATAAGGTTCAAAAGTATGAAAAACATTTAAAAGGTTGTAGAATTATAAAGAGTTTGGAAATTGTGGTCACTGGTTTTCTATTTTTCTGTAATTGAATACAAGATAAAATTGATAAATCATTAATGTAACATTGTCTTACTCCATCTCCTGCCACTGTAACCGAATACCTGAGACTGGGTAATTTATAAAAAACATCTTTCGTTTTGTTTTCTCTCACAATTCTGGAGGCTGGAAAGTCCAGGGTCAAGATGCTGGCATTTGATCTGGTAAGGTCCTTCTTACTATGTCCTTACAAGGCAGAAAACAGAGGAACAAAGGTGAGTTAGCCAAACCCTGTGGGAAGCCTCTTTTATAAGGACCTTGATTCCATTAATGAAGGAGCAGCCAGTCCTCTGGCCTAATCACCTCTTAAAGTCCCCACCTCTTAATACTATCACATTAGCAATACCTGAATTTTGGAGGGACACATTCAAACCATAGCAGACATCAATGGCTTTTTATTAGGTTGGTGCAAAAGTAATTATGGTTTTTGCCATTACTTTTAATAGAACAGATGTAAAAGAAAAGTTTCAAACCAGAGTCAGACAGGTAGCTGCAAATACATCAAAATGAAGATTCAAGAAAGCAAGGAACTTTTACTTATCTTATTATAATCTCATCCCCTTGACCTAAAACAGTGCTCGACACTTTGCAGTTGCTCAGTAAATACTTGTCAGATAAATGAATGAATGAAGTTTCCCCCTATATGTTCCAGAAATATTTGAGAAAATTTTAAAGATAATTTTTGTTACTATAAAGCTAGGTTTTGCTGTAAGAAAGTATAAACTATGTTGATTAAAATATATAAACATAAATACAAAATGATTAAAATTGATCATAGTCCTACGACTCAAGGAAAGCTACTGCTATTACAACATACTGGTATATTTACTTTCAGTTCTCTTTCTTATGTGTATCTTTAGACAGTTGAGATCAAACATTACTTAAAATAGTTTATCTAGACTTCAGTGTTCACTTAAAGTTTTAGTGTAATCTTTTCCCAAAATTATTGAAAATGAGGGTATTCATTATTAAATACTTTTAAAATGTTATATTTAAACATTCCAAAAGGCCTGAAAACAATTTTTATTGACAAACAGGTTTTATATGTTACTGGTTATATATTATTCTCTAGTCACTGATATTGAATTTGTGATTTATAGGCTTAAAGGCAAAACTATACTACAGGAACCATTTCAACCATCAAGTATGCAGTTTTGAGAGGAGTCAGAATATTCCTTTAGTTCATTCATTTGTCCCTACACTTGACAAATATTTATTGTTGACTTAATCCAGAGTAAGTACTGAGAATAGGATGAACAACTATACAGCTGCTACCCCACAGAGCTTATAATCTAGTCAAGGGAGACACATTAATCAAATAATCAATTAATTAATTAAAAGTTGTACATGTTAGCAATAAGAGGTATATGGTCATATATGTCACTATAAAATAAAAGGACTAGACTGGTGTGTGTGTGTGTGTGTGCGCGCGCACGTGCGCATGCATAGCAGGGAATTGGGGATATGAGGTAGGTTGAGAATAATTTTGTCTAACATGTAACAAGTGCTTCATTCAATGCTAGTCAGGCCTGTGTTGCAAACATTAAATGGCTTCTCTCATTTTTTTATTTAATAATCACAGTATCTTATAAGTAAGAATTATCTTCCCTCACTTTACAAATAAAGAAATTGGGGCTCAGAGTTAGGTCAAATAATTTACTTAAGATTACACAGCCAGTAAATAATGAACTGGATGAAAACCCAGACAATAAAACAGCAGAGCCCTTAAGTTATATGCTGCATATCCCACTTCCCTGCATAACTGACAATTATACTGAGATATAACGGATAAGCTGGTGTTAATAAAGCATAGTGGTGGAGGGGAAGAGAGACTACTCAAGACAGGAGAGACTGCTATAAATTAAAGTGCGAACAACAACAGTAACAAAGCCAGTGAACTAAATAAGAACACAGAGAGCAATGGGAAATATGGAGATGAGTCTGGGAGGTGAGGCTGGACCGGCAGTGAAAGCCCTCATGGCCCACATGAAGGAAGCTGGCATTCCTAAATGCAACTGAGAAGGCATTATATACTTTCACTGCTTTTATTTGAAATTCAAACACTTAAGGGAAAGAAAATTAATAAAGGTTGGATTTCGTGAAGAACTAGAAAGAGGAATACTTGCTCAGTTTGAAAATATTTTCTAGGATCTATCATATCTGTATTAACAAGTATCCATACTTCAGGAATAAAAGTGGTAGCTTTTAAATACCCTTTAAAATAAATCAAATGTAGACAAATTTAACAGAGGTTTGGGTTTTCCTTCTGGGCCTGAGATGTGTCAACTAAAGAGGATTCTATACAGAGTACTAGAAAATGGCTTTGGGCTAGGCTGTGACGGTGTAGGTCAATCAGCCCCACAGCCGATCTAGAAGTAAGGAAAGTTGACACAGACTTCAGTCATAGAAGTACAGTAGACCAGGAATGATGGTATTAGAGTTACGAAAATGGAAACAGTAAAATACTATGCTTACTAGAAAAACTTAGGCTATTCATCAGGCTATCGGAGGCAAGGGTAGAAGGAAAGCAGCAAAAGGTATTTCCAAGATACATTCTGGAAACATCCTCTCTAGATGCCAACAATCACAATATGACAACATTGTATGCTCCGCAGTGTTTTAAAACTTTCAGCAGCTTTGGTCCTTGGACAATATAATTCCTGTTAACATGCAGATCCACTGCAATATTAATTTATTCACATGGTCCTTTGAATCTCATAGGTTCAGAATATTTTTTTGGTTTTGTTTCATTTTTGTTTTTTTTTGAGACAGAGTCTCGCTCTGTTGCCAGGCTGGAGATCTCAGCTCCCTGCAACCTCTGCCTCCTGGGTTTAAGAGATTCTCATGCCTCAACCTCCCGAGTGGCTGGGATTACACACGCCACCCATGCCTAGCTAATTTTTGTATTTTTAGTAGAGGCAGGGTTTTGCCATGATGACCAGGCTGGTCTCAAACTCCTGGCCATCTTTACTTTGGAATTACTCCACCCACCTCAGCCTCCCAAAGTGCTGGGATTACAGGCATGAGAATGTTTTGATTCCATATTTCTGAATGCATTTTTATTAACTAGAATTATATCAATAATAATAAATTTCATCTAGAAAGTATTTTCTGGCCAGGCATAGTGGCTCATGCCTGTAATCCTAGCCCTTTGGGAAGCCGAGGCGACTGATCAACTGAGGTTAGGAGCTCGAGACCAGCCTGGCTGGCCAACATGCTTAAACCCAGCCTCTACTAAAAATATAAAAGTTAGCTGAACGTGGTGGCACACACCTGTAATTCTAACTACTCGGGAGGTGAGGCAGGAGAATCACTTGAACCCTGGAGGCAGGGGCTGCAGTGAGCCAATATCGCAACCCCTGCACTCTAAGCTGGGGTGACAAGAGCGAAATTCCGTCTCAAAAAAAAAAAAAAGAATTTTCTGAAACAACTGAATTCTATGATTATCTACATAATGTAGTTATATCCAGCCTCTTTCCATTTTCAGCTTCTCAAAATCATTTTCATGGAAATTAATTCTTTTCCCATACATTTTACAATGACAATTGGATCATTAATCAGGTTTTGTCCATATCAAATTTGATCAGTTAGGGGTTCTGCCATTGTGAGTTATCTTTTGTGGTCATTATTTTTATCATATCTGAGCTCACCAATTTAACAAGAAAATTTAATTTTTCTTTCGTTGGCAATTACATTTACTTTGTACAAGGTTAGCAGTTTTCATCTTTATTTTGGAATTACTTCTTTTTGCCCGTTTTTCCCTTGCTTTTTTTTTTTTTTTTTTTTTGACAGAGTCTTGCTCTGTTGCCCAGGCTGGAGTGCAGTGGCGTGATCTTGGCTCACTGCAACCTCCGACTCCCAGGTTCAAGCCATTCTTCTGCCTCAGCCTCCCAAGTAGCTGGTACTACAGGCACTTGCCACCACGCCCAGCTAATTTTTGTATTTTTAGTAGAGACGGGGTTTCACCATATTGGCCAGGCTGAATTTTTTGTATTTTTAATATTATTGGTAAGAAGTTTCTTTGCCTTTTTTTCTTATTTTTAGTTTGGGGATGGGGGACCTGGGAAAAATTCCCCGAACATAGATCTAAGTAATTGTCAATTTAATTTTCTGCCAATTATTCATACCAACGATCAACGCCAAATTTACTTAAATATAGAAACTAAGACTAACTCTGGAAGTTATGATGATGGAATAGAACTTAAGCGTCATAAATCTTAAGAATATTAAAATAATAACTTGATTAACAAAGATAGATGAGAGGAAGGAAAAAACAAGTTCATTAATTTTCTCAGTTTAACAGAAGAAGAGTGATACAGTCTAAAGGTGAAATATACAGTTTCAAAAGATATTCTTATAACTGATTTTTTATAATCCTTAAAAAATACAGTAAATAATTCCTTTAGAGCTCTATTGTGAAGAAATATTATTTTTGCCCTAAGTG